ATTTGCAGCCATCCGAAAAGTAACTGGCGTAATTATTGTTGCAAAACATACTTGGTTGAAAGATAGTAAGGGGACTAAACTCCCTGTGAAATTATTCTTTCTGGCAAGCTGTCATTTTGAAGTAATCAACGAAAGAAGGCCTCTCCAACGGTGCGTCTTAAGACGCACCGTAGGAAAATTTAAATTAGTAGTTAGTTTTGTTATTCGGCGAAGCGCGCGCAAGCATTGGCACGACGCACACGCGCGCGCGGTTGCTATAATTCGTCGGATCAGTGCGCGACATCGCGTATAGCTGCAATCGGCTCAGTGAGAACGTGTCTCGGACGCTGAATTCAGGCCCTATTCAAAACATGATTCAGCAACTTTTGATTTGAAATTGAGATCCTAGAATGCTGTTTTTCTCGGAATATACAGCTGAAGCTGAGCTGAAACTTCATCAGGTTAGTTGTTCAGTATCCTTCATTAGATTTTGAACCCTTTTGTTGCTTCAAACGAGCAAAATGCAAAAATGACAAATGATGGACTATATATCTTTAAGATTTACCATCATGACTCCTAAAAACACGTGCAAACTACATGAACACGATACGTCATCCACCTTGGTATTTCATTATACATTTTTATTGAACTTTTTTATTGCAAAGGATGCATGACATGATCGTACATTTGTGCAACTTTCTACTCCTCTGAAATGTATGGAAAATATTTCTTTTTGGTCATTGTTTTGATTGAAATTTGCACTTCATTTTAAAATGTCCATGCTTTCCTTAGAAATGAGGAGGCTCTTGTGATGTCATCTTAGGAAGACTCTTGTTTACTTTTTAATTAGGGGTTTTCTGCTTGAACCCAAAATTTGCTAACATTTGAAAACATTTGCTCGATCATTGGCTTACTGCCATGCACGGAAACAACAACGAATCACCACAGAAAAGAACATTTTATCCGCAATTCTGGCAAATGTTCGTGCTGAAGCAGCTACAACATTGAGGTTTCTGCCTTCAATGACATCACACTTTTGCTCATGGTTATGAAAATTCATATTAGCATAAAAACAAAACAAAAATAGAGGCACCAAAATGCCCTGAAAATGGCAAAATGAAAATCAAAAATAAACATTAAGTTTAAATGTGACACAAAGGTGCATTTTTCAAAGATTGTTAAGCATTTACAAAACAAAAAATACATTACATGGGTGTCACCTATCTATCGTTTATCTTTACATCTACCATGGTATGTATTCCATAACATTGAATGCTATTTTTTACGAGTTCACATTGTTCATTTTTCGGTTAATTACGTAATATGAATTATAAACGACGTTTATATTTTGTATTGATCAATAATAATAATAACTAGAGTTTGAGGACAAACACACGGTGTTGGGCTAGAGGTTTTGCTTTTTCGCATTGTTGATTATTGTTGTTGATTATTGATGTTGGTTGTTGATGTTGATGTTGATTGTTGATGTTGATTGTAACAGTTGATGGTAATTGTTCATGTTGATGTCGATTGTTGATAATTGATTGTTGATACTGATTAACAATTATTGATGTAGATTGTTGATGATTGTTGATGTTGATTGTTGATGTTGTTGATTTTGTTATTGATTGTTGATGTTAATTGTAATTGTTGATGTTGATTACTGATGTTGATTACTGATGTTGAATGTCAGATTGTTGATGTTAATTGTTGATGTTGATTGTTGATGTTGATTGTTGATTGTTGATTGTTGATGTTGATGTTAATGTTGATGTTGATTGTTGATGTTGATTGTTGGTGTAGATGTTGCTGTTGATGTTTATTGTTGATGTTGATTGTTGATTGTTGATTTTTGATGTTGACTGTTGATGTTGATTGTTGATGTTGCTGTTGATTGTGGATGTTGATTGTTGATGTTGATTGTTGATGTTGAGGGTTGAGGGTTGAGGGTTGAAAAATAGCGCGTGGAGTAATTATACAAAGGATAGTTTAAAAGAGTCAGGTGAGGATCTGCACGCGCGTATGCTGCTGTACTGTAAACTTATCTAGTACAATTGTTACAAAAACCCATTAAATAGCTCATATCTCTAAAAGTAAAGGTCGCACACCATTGGCGCAGTACAAGATATTGCTCGCCATACCCTCTTTACCACAATGTGCATGTTTTTAGAATAAAGCGCCCAATTTAAAAAAGCGCCCAGTTGGGCGCTTTTGCCAGCCCAATTTTTGCGTATCATATGACGGGAAGTTCCCTTTTACGCAATCGCAGCGCACTGTTTTTCGGGATTTTCCCTCTGTACGCAATTATCCCCATTTGCTGTACACACAATGTACGTGTCATTAAATGAGCGTTTCAATGCATAGGCGTGTTCACTTTCAAACTTCAAGGGGGCTGCAGGGCAACTTCTAGTAAATTTATTGTAACGAAACCTTAGGAAGTTTTAGACCTATTATTGAAGTGCCATTTAAAGCACGAAACTGGATTATATCTCTGACGGTTGATTTTTTTAGCAATTCTCAAAGGAAAAGAGGTCTTTTCATTGTAATTTCCGGTCTGATGACGTAATCATTATTTTTTCGCGCACAGGTATTGTCTGCATTAAGGTCATTATGTATATTAATTTTGAAGCGACTACCGCAAATTTCGCCACAGACATCAACTGAAAATGCGTTTTGGACATTTTTTCACCTGCCGCTAGAGGGCGCTCGAACACTTGATGGCGTCACCGATCATTTTTTTGGAAAGATCAACCCACCCATAGGCTAACATCGTTGAAAGCAAGTTCATATCTTTTTCCACTTTTGAATTATTAGGCACTTCCGGTTTCGACCGGAAGGAAGGGTCATGTGATTTTACGCACACAAGATTAATTGAAGAGCATATATTATCATGTCGATTCCCACAAAATTCAAGTTCCGGTCTCTCACGGTTGATTTTATATTGAATTTCAAAGATTAAATTTATTATTTTTTGAAGTGACGTCACGTGACCCATGATGACGTCATAATGACGTAATTGCAAAAAAGCACATCTTCAGTGGGTTGTGCATTCATGTATTGACAATTAAAGTTCATATTACTTTTCATGTTGACAAACAGTTCCGGAAACGAATGTGTCTTGGAGAAATAAAAAAAAAAAAAAAATAGTAAATTCTTACAATAACAATAGGTGTTGGGCTCAGGCCCAACACCTAATAATAATAATAATAATAATAATAATTACGGGAAAATGGGTCATTTGGGAGACATTCCTATAGACTTGTGCACACAATTTTTGAAACTTCAGTGTGCCCTAACCCAATATTCCCTTGTACTTTTCCCACAAATTTCAGTATGTTCACTAATTAGACCACGAGCAACAAATGTAATCTAATTTCGACGATACAATTCTGCCTCTAAAGGGGGGCTGTGACATTAGGGAGACATGAAAATGATATCTCCCATCGTGCGAAGAAATCACGATAACTGTTTCTTTAATGGGTACCTTTACACGTATAAACAGTTTCTTATATAGCGCAGTATTCACCAGAAACGTTTCTATGCGCTTCTGAAAGCATTAAACAAGTGTGTCACCCTGGGCGGAGTGACCTGATGCCCCTGGGGCATCAACAATAAACCCAATTTTCTGATTTTTTTTTTTTTTTTTTAGGGCCAATAACGTTCACCTCCTATCTAATCCTCATTCAACCCTTGCCAAATCAGCTGGTTCAATGAACTTTGCTGGCAGGGCTACACCCAGGCCGTGTCAACAAACGTTCGACTAGGCCTCCCGCCAAGTCTCATTGAAACATCAACAAAGACCTGTAACTTGACACAGTCATCTCCCTTCATAACTGCATACCACAGCCGCCAGTCAATTATCTTTCCAGCGCACTGTCTGGCAACTGTCTGGACACTTTCTGGCACGTGGCTTTTTGTTGTATTGCTATGAATAGGGTCTTGCGTAGTGCGGGAAAGTACCTGCTGCCCAGAGGGCAGCAGTTGACGAGTTGTTGTAAAGGGTTTTTTTGTAACCGCTGCGCAGGGTTAAGCTGCGATCTAAAATTTTCCAAGGATGGGCTGATTTTTGTTGAAGTAACTTATTCAATTCTTCTGGTACTACATAATGAAATGTCCGTGGCCATACGATCTGGTATGAACTGAACTGTTTCTTCTCAATTTTCAATTCATAGCCCAAAACATGTGATTTTACAATATTTATTTGGATTTCTCATTAGTAAATTAATATGTATGTAATAGATTGCGTTTATATTAATCATCGTGCAATCATTTCCTGTGTGGCGAATGAGTTGGCCTCTACCAAACCAAAATTGTATTTTCCCTGGCAAATCTTACCGTCCAATAAAATACAGGGCGAGTCAAAAAAGCGGTACCCACACACCCACAAATATATTTCATATTAAACAAATATGCAGCACCAAAACTATTAATGATTGGAAAGCCTATTCCATAAGCTACTTGGAGATGAAAAAATATTGAAATTGCTCAAACCGTTCAGAGAATATCACCATTTATACGCAATGACTAAAAAAACCTGTTTCGTCCAAAAGAAAAAGCAATTTATTGTGTATTCTGACTGTTTGTAACAACAAAGAAAATGACACAGAATACATGTTTCAACAACTGTCAACAACTGTAGTACACAATATTTTTTTTATTGACAACCCTGCTTAGGCAAACAATATGATCTATCATCCAATTTATTTTTAAAGACAGGCCTTCAAAAGGACTTTGTTGAATATTTTTAACTTTTAAACTGAAGTTGTATCGCTGGGATGTTTGAAAATAATTGACAATGATTGTTGTAATCGCATTTTTTTTTGGACGAAAGAGGTTTTAGGTTCATTGTGTTTAAATGGTGATATTGTTTGAACGGATTGAGCGATTTCAGTATTATTTCATCTAAAAGTAGGTAATGAAATTGGCTTTCCAGTTATTATTATTGTTGGTACTACATATTTTATTGATATGAAACATAATTTTTTTTCGGGGGGGTGGGTTCCGCTTTTTTTACTCATCCTGTAATCGTCTGTTCTTGTGTATAACATACCCAACCAAACGACTGCTGTAAATGATGATTCAGCACAGGTGTATAATATTATGCGAGTCCCTTCATGACAGACATTGAGGACAAAACCCTAAAAGGTTTACCTCAGACAAAATTATGACCAAAATTTAAGTCTATCCAATTGTACTTGTGTTATTTCAGTTTCAGACTTGGAACCAATTCTTGACCAACCCTTCAGCCAAATGATCACTCCGTGCGACAATAATACAGTGGTGGCTAACGAGGCGTATCAAGTTGAGGGAACTGCTCAAATGGTTCCCGGCCCAGAGCTAGTGGAACAACCATGCGCAGTGCACGCACCACTTGGGTCCTACTTAGATCTCGGAGACTTTGCAGGGAGTTGTGTCTCAGACCCTGGACTGTGTGAGTCTGAAACTGTGACCTGGTCCATTTGGTTGAAAATCGACACGCCGGTGTCTGTGAACAAAAACAACTGGTTTTACTTGAGCTCTGGGGGACAGACTGGTCAGGCCAGAGGAATAGCTTTCATGTATCAAAAGAACTTTCAGAAATTCTTGATCACGGCAAAGTCCGAACAATTTCATTTTAATCGTAAATATGACAAAAGTAAGATACCGCTGGACGAGTGGTTCCACCTCGCATTCACGGCGGACTTGTCAGGCACGCGGGGCACAGACTTAAAAGTATTTGTCAATGGGGAGATGGTCAATGCGGACGTGATGGGAAACCCAACTGCAACAACTCAATCGGACAGGTGCACTCATCTTTACATCGGCATGACAAATACATGTGATCGCACATACTCTGTTGACACGTACGGTGGCTCTGCGGCATACAGCAATCTGGTTGTGTTTGACGGTCTTCTGAGCTCACTGCAGATAGCAAACCTGTACAAGTGTGGATCTATTGGTACGTACCCCTTTCACCTGAATCGATACGATTAAGATGTTTTTAAGATGTTACCAGGAAACATCTCTGAGGTGCACTTTCTTTCGGCAAACAATATCGAGGTAATTAGCCTACTGGCGAAAGATGTTATGGTTTGCTGTTGTTGCTGTTATTTGGTGCTGATGTTGCTGGCTTCTCTAGTTTGTTGTTATTGTTACTGATCTTGCTGCTTTTCCTGCTTGTGTGCTGCTGTGGTTATTGTGGTTGTGCTTTGTTGTGGGTTGATGTTGTTTGCACTAATGTGTTTGGCATCTCCTTGTTTTATCTTGTTGTAGATTGGCGCCCAAGGATTATCAACTTCACAATGACAAAGGACGGCATCGCTGACAGCCCAATCCGTTTTAACTGCACGGCCGACGGTGACGTCATCACCTGGAGTGTACTTCACGAAAACAACCACAACAACATGAGTTGGGAGATTTTGGCAACCACAGCGGGAGCCGGCTACACAATTCAAGCAGTGAATGCTTCTAGATGCGTTATTCACTCGACTCTTGTGATTGATCGCAACCACAGCTTGCCGTTTGAGGGCGCTCTAGTGGCCTGCACAGCGCATTCGTATCGTCTACGCGACAAGGCGTCTAGTTTCAACTATCAAGGTATTCCCCATGATGAAATTCATGGAACATTTTTTCGCTGATTCGTTTTCAATAGGCATTACGTGGCGTACTAAGCCTCGATTTTGTATATAATTCAAATTTTTATATTGTTAAATGTGGACCACCCGGTGAAAAAAATTTGGCATTTCCTACTGATTTCCGTTATACAAGATTTATTTTTCAACGTAGATTTGGTGATTTCAGACTCATTTTGTATGGTCGAGTTTAAGGGTGTTGCCTGAAAATTAGAAAATAGTTTGATTTTTGCTCTGTGAACTCATCGTTTTTTTGTGATCATGCCCCCTCTTTGATTTTTAAAGATTTTGTTCCTTAATTCACACCCTTTTGTCGGGAAGCACTCTCCGTAACGCTTCGCCAGATCAGCATGGGAGTTAGTGAATGTTCCAAATTTTCATCAGAGGTCAAAAAGAAAAACTTTCTACTTTGGTTGTCTATTGTTTCATCCCAACCGAATTTACATAAATGTTAATAATTCAACTTACACGCACAATTATATCCAGATTGCCACTTATCGTGAAATGATACTTAATTATCTTGAGGAGGCGGGCGGAAACAGTGCCAAAGAAATTCACGATTCCTACCTCCAAATTGTATCTCAAACATTTACGAAGGCAATTGAGCCTCAAGAAAAACACAGAAACTCAAATTATATCAAGCGTTGACACTTTCATTATTATTATTTTGTTTTATTATTTTAAGGCGAACAAGTAAATATCGGAACAAGTGACCATGGTTCTTTCGGTAAGTGTGATTCTGTGTGTTTACGTTTATACCGACAGTAAAGTCACTAGGCCTATATAGTTTTGCAAATAATGGATGTTGTCCCTCGCCTGGCAGAGTAGAAAACAAACATGAACAAATTGAAAAGTCATCACATCGTTTTATAAATAATTTAAGTACTAATTAAATCGCAACGAATGTCTAAATTTCTGCACAGCGCCACCACTTGTCTTGTCAGAATTTCCTGGTCTGAACGAGATGCTATTTCCCTGTTTTCCTCCTTTTTTTCAACTGAATATCGTAGGTCTTTCCCTGTGGACATTTAGTAACGTTGGAACCCAGTTCATAATCAAAGGTGGCGACTATCCTGACACGTTTTGCGACACGGCGCCCCCTACTGTCGCATCAAACAACGGCGGTTCGTGCTCAGCGGATCAACAAAAACATCCTTTTATTTGCCAGATGTAAACAATTTTGTTCTGCGAAAAATTATTCAAAGGTGTAATTGTTTTCTGTGATACCTTTGGACAGCGACATAAGCATGAATCTAACAAATAGTGGCACAAACGAAATATCCATGTCAAGAAAAATACAGGCCCAAAGTGTCCTTATTCTCAAATCTTAACACATGTACGTACGCCTGGTTGAAGTTAAAACACTGAACTTGTACAAGTTGTCAAAAAAACGGTAAGTCCAAGAAAGTGACTAAGGTGGATATATTTTAAAATATTTAAATATATGTCGCTCGCTCCATTTAATAATAAACTAACAAATGAATAATGTAAATGTCATTGACTACTAACTCTGATAATTTCACGTAATTTGCATACACTAATCACAAGTTATCTCTATTTTAATCAAATTACCACAATATTTAGCTGTCCACCACTGATCATTTACTGATACGAATTAAGTGATACCTTCGAATACAATGAACCATTGGGGTTTTGGTTTTCCAACCTGCATCAATGAATGAATACTTGCAAAGAAAACAGACCAAAATCACAATCATCATTTAAGAAAAAGACTTGATTTGTTCCCCACATACAAAACACGAACACTTATAGAAATGTAATCTTTCAGACTTGACTAAATTTATGAAAATCTCATTTGTATGTGAAACCCCATGTGCAATCTTTGGTTCTCATGTAGCATTCCATGGGCAGCTATAAAAATGTGTTCTTTTAGTGAAACATGCATAACTTCTGATGACATGGATTGATTTCTGTATTTTTTTTTCACATGAGCGGAACGACATGCTCGTTTAATACATGCTTCATTTGTGTATTAAAGGGAATATATGAATGTCAAATGCAACATTTGCTTCTGCTGTAATTTTCAGAAATGGATTGATTCGGGTGTTAGTATTTAATAGCAAATACTGTTACACTGACTTGTTTGAAGTTTTGTGTTCGTAGATGCTGGAAAGCCAAGAAAAACAATCATGTTCATGTAGTCTGGTTCCCTCACCCTACTTAAGATGAAACGGAACAATTTATAGACGTTGGGGCATTGTAAGGTCAGAAAACCAGTCTGGCTGGCTTGTACCCGTTCATAAGTGCATAATCGGTTGCAAACAAAATGCGGACTAACTAAATATGGTAAATTATGGGCAGTATTGAAAAAAAAAACAGTTTTGTTTTCAACGCTGGTGGGCCGATCAGAGTTGAAAATTGATACAAAAATACCACTTTTCTTGAATATGACAGCACACCGGGTGCCAAGATTTTACAGGATGCTTAAGACTGTCATTCACTAACAGTCCAGTAAGGTATTTCATAAAAATTTGGTACTTTTGTTTTTTGATGTTTGCAAATGTTGTATATTCTTGGTTTTTAAGGAGAAAAATCATTTTTTCACTTTTGTTTTGACTGACCCTGTAGTCCTCTGATTTATTCCTGCGTTTTGTTCCCAAGCATTGCAGTTAACGTTTTTAAGCGACTTTAACTATCGTCGCCACAGTCACGCGTGAAAACGTGATGGTTAAAATAAAAAAAATAGCACATTGATTTCAAGTGATATGATTGTAGGTAAAATTGTGGATTTTCAGTTTTCAATTTGTCTTTAAGTACTTTAAGTCTCGTATGAAACGTTTTAATTCTGTAACAGTTATTGCACGTTATTTATTGTTCTCGAGAATTAGTGCTTCTAGATTGGTGTTCTTTTCCTGATTCCATATAAGTTGGTCAGTTGTTGCCAAGCACACAACAAACACGTACATTAAAAAAAACCTTGACATGCACTTGTGAATTATTATTATTATTAATGCTTATCGTAAGTAATATAACAGAAAAATATACCAATCTTAAAATTAATGTGGCCTGACGTTGCGAACTTAGCAAGTTCTTCTTCAGAGGCTAAAACATTTTTTCAGAAAAATATACCATTAGAGAGATATTGTCATATGTACAATTGTTTTTTGAATTTCTTGACTCCTAACCCCAATTTGGCCTTAATACCCCCACGAATTTCGGTATTTTTGTTTTGTTTTACTAATTGGACCACCAACAATCGATCTAGCCTATTTGCGACAACAAAATTTCGCCCCTAAATAGAAGCTGAGGCGTTGGGGCGACATTGAATTTCAAATGTCTCTATAAGTTCTGACGCTAAAGTGTCTCCCAAGGTGTCGATACTTTGTAGATGAGATTTGTAGGTTGCATAGTGGACATAAACACAGTATGTATGTAACACCATGTGAATAACATATCTTATTTGTGGAGTGCTGTGGCCTCGTGGTTAAGAATATTGAATTCGTGGTCTGCGGGTTATTCTGCGGGTTGTGGGTTCGAGTCCAGCGGGGGTTATGGTGCAAGTGCCCTTGGGGCAAGGCACTTTGATCGTTGCTTCTCTCCACTCGGGAGTAAATGGGTACCTGTGAGGGCAGAGATGGTTATGTGATTGAATTAGCTTGCTTGCGCCTAACGGGCATCATCGAGCTGTATACTCCCCAGGGAGCTGAGATGGTATTTGGAATGTTTAATTGACCCAATGATCAGGGGTAATAATAACACTGTAAGCGCAGTGATTTAGTTTACTAATAAGAGCGTTCTTAAATGCCGATTATTTGAATTATTATTATTTTTTATAAAACTTTGTCAGGTTTAAATACTTCAGGTTTCAATTCAAGGAGCCAAATTAACTCTGGGCGTGGGTTATGAATCTCAAACATGACGCTTTGTCAAGCGAATCTTGGAACACGAGTGAGAACAGCTTGGAATGATAGGTCGAGGAGACAGTTTTAAACGTGTGGTTTAAAGGGAACATGAAATACAATTTTGATTGCATTTTTTTTGCTTAAATCAATAAAGGATGATGTTCTTAACAATATTTTGTGTATGGCGGTGCTTATTTTCTGGGATAAATGGGGGAATAAATGAGGCAGAGACTTGCCGCGCTGCGGGGGGCACCGGCATTGCGGCGTGCATCATATCATAATACATGTACATATACATTGCGGCACTGAAAGTTTCTGGTGTTTCGTTCGGAATCGAGGAGAAATAACACCCGATTTTCGGCCATGCCGACAAGGTGTGTGGCTGCTGGGTGTAGCAAAACTACCAAGGATGGAGTAAGCCTTCATTTGTTTCCAGTAAATCCGAACTATCGGAGCATTTGGAGAGCCAAAGTGAAGGTAAATACCAGAGCAAAGTGGTCCAGGCCCAGTGAGTTCGCGGCCCTCTGCGCTGCATTTTGAGCCGTCGTGCTTTGATGCTGGTCTGTACAGCAACTTGGGCATGCCCCTAAAAACATCGAGTCAGTGTCTGAATCATTAGAACTCTGATTCGAATCGGACGAACCTGTACCATTTTCATCGGATTCGCTAAGGAAAGAAGAGGAAGAGTCTTCGGAACTTTCACGGTCATGACGGTCGTCGTTGTTTTCATTCGACAACGGTGGCACCGTGGCACGTCCACGTGTGCATGTACATTGTACATGTAGACACATTCGTACGTGTGCATATATATAATGCCACGTACGGGTACACGGCGGCTGCACATACACACAGTACAGTAGCTTCGCTAATCCGTCTCGTACCCAGACGTCATTTACAGGCCCTCTGCCTTTGTTTACGTCATGAACAGCGCCCTCATTTGGAGTTGCCGCGAACATCAAAAAGGGGGTTCAATTTTGGACGGCAAATTACCACACTAAACGTACACCAGAACCAATTCTGCTTTTAATTTACATTTAATACACATAAATGAATGTATATATAAAATAAAATACGTTATGAAAATTTTGGACTGCATGTTTCCGTTAAAACTGGCTTATGGAATATCCCCTTGCACTAGCATGCGTGTACGATATGCGAGCAGATTGAGCGATTAATTATGCAAAACAAGATTGCGTACTTGACCTCGCGATTCTGGCCCTTGAGCGGACACTTTCTATCGGGTCTTCAGTAACCTGATGCAGTCCGGTTTTGCATAATCAATTGCCAAATCTACTCGCATGTCAATTTCAGGCTTGCGTGCAAGCGGCTATTCCATAGACTACCGTCCCATTTTGGATCGACACATGTCTGATCAATACTTTGTGTTCACAGTATCGCAATCTGATGTATTCTGATTTTTTTTTTCAGTTCCTCTCTTTGAAAAAAAAAAGTTCTGTGTGCAGCTCCATTGTCAATCATACAAATGGCAGCCAAGCGAAACGATTGACAGTTCAGGCAAAATACCTTTTGTGGAACACAAGTTCAGTATTTATCACTCAACAGCTTAGGTTGGTTAGCCACTTTAAAAAAAAGCGTTCAAATATTACTCTGTGCATGTTAAAAAAAACCGCACCATGCCATCATCAGTTCGAAAGCTGTAACACTGTAATATTTCGTGCTTAAAATACTTTTCAAAAATCCTCAAAACGCTCATGTATACACTAAAAAAATGACATCATTTAAACTGTACTAACAGCTATTGAAATCAACCGGGGCAACCGGAAGATCGGCCCCTCCTCCCCCACCTCCTCCTCCTCTATCTCCACTTCCTGCTCCCGCTTTTGCTCCTCCTTCTTTCTTGCTCATGCTCCTGTCCATCCATCTCGGCTCCTGCTCCTCCTCTCGCTCCTGCTCCTCCCCCTCCCCTTCCTCCACATCGTCCTCCTCCTCCCCTTCTTCTTCCTACTTCTACTCCTGTTCCTACGCCTTCTGCTCCTGCTCCTGCATTATGAAGGGCGGAGCTGAATGTGGGACGGTGTCTCCACTGCTTGTCCATGTCCTGGGTTCATTGGGATGACAGGTTGACTGCGAAGTGATGGGGTTCCTCCATGGATGATGGGGATGGGGTCTCCACTGCTTGTGAGTGTCCTGGGTTGCGTTGAAGACTGGGCTGGATCATCCATCAGAAACAGGGGGTATAGCAGGAAACATCAAGATGGGTAATAATTAACAAACATAAACAGCGCACCTATCAGTTCTCTCTCTCAATGCTATGACGAGTATCAGCGAATTGACTTCAGCTTCCCAAGGAAGGAATTTCGGAGACAGTTAAAAAGTGTAGATGTTGGGTATGGACAAACCTCTATGTATCCCGTATGGAACCCATATGGGTTATCCCATATGGGGGTCTACCTGGGCTTTCCCATATGGGTGTCATATGTGGGAAAACTGGGCAAACCCATATGGGCTAGGAAATGGGTTGACCCATATGGGTGACATATGGGAAGAAACTGGGCAAGCCCATTCGGGCAGAATATGGGCTGGCCCATGTGGGTGTCATTAGGAAAAAAGCTGGCAAGCCCATGTGGGGAAAATACGGGCTGACCCATGTGGGCGTCATATGGGATAAACCTGGGCACGTTCATTATGGGCAAAATACAGGCTGGCCGATATGGGTGTCATTGGGAAAAACCTGGG